CCTTCGATCGCCCCTCTGGGGTAACCTATCCAGTCAAACTTTGCCTATTTGTGTTTTGCGAAATATTATGTGAATCCTGCGAACATTTACAGTGTGTGACCTGCCTACTCTGGAGCGTGAACTGCCTGCTGCTCAGCAGCTCAGTCTTATAGCCGTATCGACGACAAATGGCCATTTGCGGGTTACTTGCTGTCGTTAGGTGGTCATATTTTAATCCCATTTCTTTATGACCCAAACTTTTGTCTGGCTCTGTGCCTGAATAAGTCATTTTTAAACTTATCTTCCGAATGCTCTCTTCACCTGCCGGTGTTTCCTGTGTTTTTTAAGCTGGCATTATAATAAAGCGACACTTCAAATCGGTCGAGCTATTTGCTGATCGCATCCTTAGTGAGGTCGCCCACCCTCTCCACTCCGAACTAATGGCTGCGAATTCTTCCTGTACTATGCGCCGAAGCTTCCGTCACATGTCTTGCCGTACATCGGCATATTATAACTCTGTACTCCCATTCCTAGCACGATACCTCACGTGTGAAGAAATGGAAATTCAGAAGTTGAAAGCCGACCTGTTTTTCGCTCTCCCTGCTTCCTCTCTCGCTTCTTCTTGCTTTCTTCTCTTTTTTCTCGGACAGATAAGTCCCCCTCCAATCTCTCAGTCGTCAGTTCCGCTTGAATAATCCTTCTGTGAACGGGTGTTTGTGTCGTCCGACGCTTTTTAAAGCACCCATTTCCTCCGTATCAGTTGAATTACCCTTTTGCTGAGAAGAAAACTTATTTGCCTCTTCTAACGCCCCTCTCTCCTTTAGTATCACCGGGCTGCCATCACGTCAGTCGAATGGCATCCGAACGAAGCTGGAATTTTTGTGGCTACCTCAGAGGACGACCAGACGACCCTTTGGGACATTACACTGGAGCAAGAGGCCGCTGCCGCTGAAGCTGCTGCTGCCGCCAAAATGGAAACAGACGACGCACAGGCGGATGCAGCCAGCGAGCCCAGTGAGGTCCCCGTCCAGCTGCTTTTCATTCACACCGGCCAGGAGGAAGTGAAGGAGGCCCACTGGCATCCGCAGATACCGGGTCTTGTGATAAACACCGCCGCGGATGGATTTAACGTTTTTCGGACAATTTGCATATGAAGTGTAGATAAACCACGAGCATACACACACAC